TACTTATCGCAACGTGCCCACACGGCAATGCAACCTGGATGCTGAAGTTTAGAAAAAAACAAGTCTACGCTAACATCTTCTGTCTGAAAAGAAAAACACAATAACACACGTGTCATAGGTTTGCTGCCACTGTCCTATAGGTTCCATATTCTTGGGAAAACATTGCTCCCTTGCCAGTGCTGTCCACGCTGCAGCATACATGAACTCTGAGTCTTCTGTCATTTCTTTACCTCCAGGTTCCCTTGGTGATGTGTATTTTAAAATACAGAGGGAGGGAGGATGGGTAGGATCGAAATATATTATATACATTGAAAGCCAACATTCTGTACCATTAGTAGGTATTAACAGTAAAAGGGAAAAAAGAAAACGAAAAGAACATAGAAGGAGGAGTGTACCAGATAATCACACTATTTGTTACTTTTATTCAAAAGAGCTGTATTATCCTTGTTAAAGATAAATTTATTAAGTGCGATATTTTATATCTTTATCTCCCAAGTAGGTCAGAAGTATTCAATTAAATTGCTTTTTGCTTGAGTACCACCCATAATTACTTTGCCTGTTGTCTCTGACAGGGCTTTTAATAAATAAATGCATTCCCTAATTCCAGCCCAGCCCGAGGCATCTGACGTCAGGCTCTCTCTGAGTCTGAACAAACGAATATAGGACACTCAACATACGGCGACAATTTAAGCGTGAAGTAAATTCCATGTATGAGAATCCAGAAATACCTGCATAAACACCCATATCCCTAGGAATCACAGGTTATTTAATTATAGGGAATTAAGTGAAACTTAATTTTGTCATTACCTGGTTCATTACTGTGACCTCCAGTAAAAATTTAATGAGTCATCAAGCAATTGGAGCGTTGCAGACGGAACTGTCCTGCAGGGGCCCACTGGGCCATTCCTGCCTCTAGATAGCGTTCTGGAGAGGGTGCCTTATTTCTTTAGGGCCCATGCGATCCCTAAGCAGATGGTCAGCTGTCCGTGCAACAGGACTTGAGATGTGTAATGTAAAAAACCACCCAACCTCATCATCTGACCCAATCACAGTCATGTGGAGGCCCTTCTGGGACCAGCCAGAAAACCACATCCATGAAAAGCTCAAGATGGTGGAAATGGGGTTCACCAGCGTGCTATACAAGTGGTTTCCCAGGGTAGGAGGTTAGTGTGGATATACCAAGACCTTCGCTGAGTCACATGAATTGTTCCCTAAACCAAATGGACACTTAGGCTTTTGTTTTCCCAAGCGGCCCAGGCAAATATGGAGCTCACGCTGAGCTGTGAGAGTCAACTTGAACGGGGGAGACTCAGCCCCATCCTTATAGCACTCAAACTTTTCTCCCAATAAACATGAAACCAGAAGCAGCACCTCAGGTCTTCCCTCTGCAATGAGCGCAGTTCTTCCATAATCATAATGAACACCTCAGGGATGTCCAGCCAGCCCAGGAGCTAATAAGCCCCTCTTTCTCTGGAAACTGTCCTCCTCTCATGCATAACATGGGAGTCCTATCCAGGATGTCACGCACCGCTCAACCCAGGCCCCTGGGTCAGGGTGGAAATAGGATCCAGCTACGGCAAGCTTTCTCCAAAGACTGAAAAGTTAGGGGCCAAGAGAGTCGACAGTCCCTGGGAGATGTTATATGATCTCCTTCTATTACCGTGGGGGCTGCACAGCAAAGGGGGTCGTTCTGTAGAAAGGGAAAAAGAGGGGCAAGCAGACATGGAGGGAGGCAGGTAAGCAAAGGAGCAACGTCTTGGAGGGAGAGTGCTGGTCCCAGGCTTCTTGCGGCTCCGCCACTTCCTGTTTGAGACCGCCACTTCCTGTTTGAGACCGTCTTTATCCTTATCCTTCCTTTTCTTAATTGAAATGAAAAAAGAAATTAGGGCTTGAATGTTATTAGGCTTTTCAAAATGCCCTGTATGCTGGTCCAACCTGCCACACAGCCTCTCTCTCCTTTCTGGTCTGAAACACCTCTCCTTGGAGTTACTTTGCTGAGCTGTCTAACAAAGGCAGAGTAGTTTTCTACATGAGGCCAAGTGTGTGTGTGTGTGTGTGTGTGTGTGTGTGTGTGTTAGGACTCCTTCAAGGTAAAAACAAAAAGCATCACCACTAGCACTTATTTTTTGGAGACAGGATCTTGTACATAGTCCAGGATGGCCTTGAACTCACAGCGATCCTCTTGCCTCAGCCTCTCTAGTGCTGTAAGGTGGGATGCGTCACCCCGCCCACAACACTAGCACTTTGCTTACAGCCTTAGGGGAATTTAGGCCTTGGTTCAGTTTCAAGGTCAGAACAGAGTGCCCCTTGTGGAACATCAGAACAGTGTGTTTCTTCCAGGCTGAGGAAGGCAGAGAGTGTGGCATCAGCCAGAAGGCCACAACTCAGGAGGGAAGCCCGGAGCAGGAAGTCTTCCGTAATCATCTGCTGGCTTCACATACTGTCTTGGAGCGGTCATGTATTTTTCCAGTAATGAAAGATTTCCTTTGTCTTTCGCCTCTAATAACAATTGCCGTGTATTTCATAGGTCTAAGGTCTAGGCCTTATTCAAATTTGTACTCCTGGTATCTACATAGCACACTGCACAGCACAGACATTTAGTAAACATTTGTCGAATGAGATGTTCATTTGTATGTCCTATGTACATATTTCCAGTTCTGTTTGCTTTTATTTAACCCATTTCCTTTTGGACTCAGAAGACCTTTCAAAAGCTCTGACATGATGTAATGTGTCACTATGATAGGACGACAGGAAGGGCTTTGCTGGATGACTTCTGCCTCTTTGGGCTTTGTACTTTATTAAGGAGATGACAATTCCCTGAACAAATACAAAACATTATGAACCTGATGTCCGTGCAGTTTTAGCATCAACATTATTGCAGGAAATTGAGTTTGCCTCAGGCTACCTTCCACAGCATCTCTTCACGTTCCACCCTTACCTGGCACCTCTTCTCGTTACAGCCTGACACTTATTTGTGTGATGACTGTCATCCCCTTTGGGTCTTAGGCTCCACAGGGAAGGATGTGTCTGGTTGAGCTCATCGCTGAGGCCCAAGTACAGCGGTACCTCAGTTCACAAACGCTTTTGTTTGCAATTTGGTTTGCAAACAGAAGTGTTCAGCAAAATTTTGTGTTTGTTTGTGAACTCTGCATGGGGTGATGAACGCAGATGTGGCCGTCTTTTCCAGAATCATGGAACAAATTAACTTCGTGAATCAAGGCACCACTGTAATCTGTAGTCTTACACAAAGCTCTCAATAAATATTCACCGAATCTAAGAATGAATGGTAACTGTTGAGCTGGGCAGTGGTGAAAGTCAAAGTAGCAGCAAGAGGAGCTGGAGAGCAGGTGAGCAGCCCCCCACTGTGCATGAACAGCCGAAAAAGACTTAAGCATAAGGGAGGGAACCAGCTGGGCGTGGTGGCACACGCCTGTATTCTAGCACTCGGGAGGCTGAGGCAGGAGGATTGTTGCAAGTTCGAAACCAGCCTGGGCTACAAAGTGAGCTCAAGGCCAGTCTGAACTGCATAGCAAAACCCTGTCTCAAAAAGACCAAAAAAAAAAAAAGAAGGGAGGGAACTACTCTTGGTTGAGGATGCATTTTGTGCCTGATGCTTTGAGCATGTTGTCAGTTAATGCTCAGAGACTTCACTCAGAATCAATAGGCAGCAGCCCGTTTTATAGCTAAGAAACCAAGAGTCAGGGAAATTGCGTTCTCCTGGTCACATGAGCTAATAAATGGAAATTCTCAGACTTTCACTCAGGTCTGCCTGCCTGCCAGGTTTGTGCTCTTTCTTTTTACTTATAAGTCAGTTTCACAACTCAGAAGAAGAATGGGCCAGATGTGGTGGCACAGACCTGTAATCCCAGCACTCTGGGAGGCTGAGGCAGGAGGATCACAAATTTAAGCTCGGTCTGGACCCTTTAGCAACTTAGTGAGACGGCCTCAAAACAAAAAATAAAAAGGGCTGACACTGATCAAAATAAAATGTGAGATCCTCTGTACCACCAAAAATAAATAAACAAATAAATTTTTAAAATGGTACAAGCAGACAGAGGGAACCCGGGACATGTGTAACCAAGAGGAACAGGAAGCCCAGGACACCAGGGTCAGAGTAGAAGAGTAGGAGATGAGGTCGTGGAAATCACCTGGATGACAGCTAGGGTCACACAGAGGAGTGTTCTTTTCCTAAGGCTCCCTCTGCGACATCCTTGCAAAAACCTGTGTAGCATAGGGACCAGGGCAGGAGGCACAGTCAGAGAACACACACACCAAACTGACTAATGATGTGATGTTTTTGACGGCTTCACACATGTCAGAAAGAGAAAACACAGTCCCTGGAGCCAGAAACCTTGCGTACCAGAACTCAGACCAGGCCCCGGAATCTATCTTCCGTGACTGCTGCTAGAAAAATCATTCTAGAATGGAAATCAGATCACACCCCACCCGCTGCCGTCCTTTAAAACCCTCCCACAGCTCCTGTTTGCAATTCAATAGCTCCTCCTGCACAGAAAAATGATAAAGTAACAGATAAACTCCGGATCTGATGCCCAGTGCAAATCATACTCCGGCCTCTGTGCCACGCTCGGTCCTAACATACCTCCCCCTCTTTGGAGAGGAGGCGCCTCGCCAAGCCTTCCTCACTCCCGGCAGGGAAGGCGCCACTTCCTCCAGCATGGGGTTTCTCTCATTCATAGCCTTTCACCTTTTGCCTCTGATCTCCCGCATCTCCATGAGAGATGCCCTGTATTTTGACAAACATACTTTAATGAGGGGACATTTCAGTTTCATTCTTGGCATCCAGGTGCAGTGCCCCAAACTCCTGCAAATGCCCAGGTGTCTGCGCCGCCTGGAGGTAACTTTCCAGATACAGGGCCAAAGGGCACGGCATGATTTCTGTGGAAACTATTTTGAAGTCTGTCTGAGGCACAGGAATGAATAGTAGTTTTACTCTCTTTCTGCAGTCTCCAGCCTTTATTAAAAATTATCTGTGTCCCCAGGTATCAATATTCATGGAACAATGTAAAGTGGGCTTGGGACTCGCTGCAAAGATCAATGTCCCTGGTTCCCAGCCTGCAACAGGGGACCAGCGTCCATGCAGGGCCAGGGAAAGAGAACGGCACCCCGGACACAGACCCTGGGCCCACAGCGCACCTGGCTAGAGGGAGCAGGAGGACAGAGGCCGCCCAGGTGCCACCGCAGCAGCAGGGGACGGTGCCTGGCACAGCAATGGCCACACTACAGAAGGGACAGGGAGAAGAGAAAAGCCAGGGGGATGCGCTGCCACCAAGAGGTCAGCACAAGGAGATGGCCTCTGTCGGGTCAAAGGCACCAACACTGCAAAGTCAGCACAGGACGACAGGAGGCAGGAGGGACCAGAAGGGGAGGCCAACAACGGCAGGGACGGTATTGAAAAGGCCTCAGGGCAAAGCGCTGGCCACCACAGGAGCAGTTACAAGAAGGACAAGAAAGAAAGCAAACACCACAGCAGCTGTCCCAGCCAAAGAGAAGGCGGCACAGGCCGCCCCTGCACCTTCCCCGCGCCCCACCACGAGTGAACGCCAAAGACTGAAGGCCGCCAACTTCAAGTCGGAGCCCCGGTGGGATTTTGAGGAAAAGTACAGCCTTGACGTGGGGGGTCTGCAGACGGTGAGTTTGTGCAGCCATCTCCTCCCTCCCCTCTTGCCCTTCTGGAGAGGTGGCCGCCCTTCTCTCCTTCCCTCTCCTTCGGGTGGGCTGACCCCCGCTCAGCCCTGCCCTGCTCCCGCTCTGTCCTTCTGTCCTTCCCTCCTGCAATCGACGGCCTCGTCGAAGCCCCGGGAAGGTGTGAGAGACGAGGTACCTCCCTGGGGCGCATGAAGGGAGCTCACTAGTCCGGGCTGGGGAGTGTGACCAGCTCTACCGTCTGACACAGGGATCCTCGTCCTCTGACAGGAGGGGGGACAGGGATTAACCAATGTGAAGGCCCCAACCTCATGCCCAGCCCCAGTCCCCAAAAAGGGCCTGTTTTCCCTGCAAAGCCAACCCTGAGACCCTCACTCGCTTCCGGCCCTGAAAAACTACCTAGGCTTAGCCACACCCACCCGCAGTCTTCCTCACACACCCTTGCCTTCAAAACACGGAGGCAGCTGGGCGCCAACAGCACACTGGGCACCTGCCCCCGTGGCACCTCTCACACAAAGGTGCATCTGTGCAGAGGTCTAAGGCGCCCATTCAATGGGACCCTCGGGACCACAGAGGGCCCAGCCAGTGGACAGGGGAGGGTCCGCAGCCCTGGCTGTGGGGGGAGGGAGGAGCAGAGACAAAGCCTGCCAAGCCCTGAGGTTCCGCCCTGGCGCTGGCTCTTCGGGCCTCTCCCCGGCTGACCTCTGTGTGCCCTCCTGCATGCAGACGTGCCCTGACTCAGTGAAGATCAGAGCCTCCAAGTCCTCGTGGCTCCAGAATCTCTTTCTGCCCAACCTCACTCTCTTCCTGGACTCCAGACACTTCAACCAGAGCGAGTGGGAGCGGTTGGAACACTTTGCACCTCCCTTCGGCTTCATGGAGCTCAATCACTCCCGTGAGTCCTCACCCCAAGCAAGGCTGCTTCGAGCACCCAGGCGCCAGGGCCAGGGGCGGCACGCTTCCTCTCTCCAGGCCTGGGAGAAAGGATGGGCGGATACCTGCCCCCAGCAGGACTCTGAGTGGAGCCCCTCTCCTTATCCCAGTGGTGCAGAAAGTCCTGACCCACTTCCCGCCAGTGCCCCAGCAGCAGCTGCTCCTGGCCAGCCTGCCTCCGGGGAGCTCGCACTGCATCACCTGCGCCGTGGTGGGCAACGGGGGCATCCTGAACAGTTCCCACGTGGGCCATGAGATAGACAGCCACGACTACGTGTTCCGGTGAGCTGGGCCCTCGGCTCCCCTCAGCCCCTCTCCTGCAGGCCTGGGCCTCGAGCGAGAGCCGATTCCTCTGGAGGTGCAACTCCTGGGCTCTCCAGGGCTTTTCAGTATAGAACTTCTGCTTCCCCCACCCCTCTTCCTCCCGTGGCTTCTGATTTTTATCTTTCTATACAGGTTGAGCGGAGCTCTTATTAAAGGCTACGAACAGGACGTGGGCACCCGGACCTCCTTCTACGGCTTCACAGCCTTCTCCCTGACCCAGTCGCTGCTCTTGCTGGGCAGCCGGGGTTTCCGGCACGTGCCCGTGGGAAAGGTGAGCAGGGACCGGCCCGACTGCGCAGACTCCCAGTAAGAGCCTGAGGACCGAGAGGGACACGGGCGCCTGTCTGGATGGAGCTGTGGTTGGCACAGGCTCTGTTCGTACAAGGGCCCAGGGCAGGGAGGACGGCCAGACCGTGAGAGGGAGCCAGCAAGTGAGCCGCCCCAGCCTGTGGTCCCGAGGCACTACGCCTGAGCCGGGCTATCCTTGATCTTCAGGACATTCGCTACCTACATTTCCTGGAAGGCACCCGGGACTATGAGTGGCTGGAAGCAATGCTTGTGAATCAGACCCTGGTGAAAAAAAACCTTTTCTGGTTCAGGTACCCATTTCCCTCTTTCCAGGCCCTCGCCCTGGCCACACTGGGAATCCAGGGGTTACACAGGGTTGGACAGGTGGGGACAGCCTCAGCTATTGCCGGGAGAGGGAGGACCTGTCCTGCCCAGGACCTTGACTTGGCCCTCTCAGGCCAGCCAGGAGAACTGAGCCTGAGTGACCCGCCCCTGGCCACAGGCGCAGGCCCCAGGAAGCTTTTCGGGAAGCCTTGCAAATGGACAGATACCTGTTGCTACACCCAGACTTTCTCCGCTATGTGAAGAACAGGTGAGAGCAGAAAGCCCATGGAAGAACCATATCCCTGTCATCCCAGCAGATCCCCAACAGTTGGGATCTGGGGCATTTTATAGGTTTCTGAGGTCCAAGACCCTGAACACCACCCACTGGAGAATATACCGGCCCACCACTGGTGCACTCCTGCTGCTCACGGCCCTGCAGCTCTGTGACAAGGTAAGGCTGTGCTTCCGAGCTGGAGAGTAGCTGGGAGCTGGGTGGGTGTGCTCCTGGGGAGTGCGGGGCAGAGTGTGCATGTGCACCTGCGGGACCTGCACCCTGACTCACCCACAAGACTCTGTAACCCTGTCTTTCCTCCAACTTTCACCTAGGTGAGCGCCTACGGCTTCATCACCGAGGGCCACGAGCGCTTTTCTGACCATTACTATGATAAAACATGGAAACGACTCATCTTTTACATAAACCACGACTTCAAGTTAGAGAGAGAGGTCTGGAAGCGGCTGCATGATGAAGGTATCATCTGGCTGTACCAGCGTCCCCAAAATCCGAACGCGAAGAACTGACTGGCGCCTGGGCTGCAGCGGTCTCTTCTTTACCTCCTCCAAAACATGGGGTGCTGAGGGAGTCTCAAGGCTCCTCTGCCATCTGCCCAGGGCTTGAGCCAGCCTGCATCCTATGAAGAAATCTCCCTCAAGACGGCAGGGAGTTGGAGTCCTTTGGAAAGTTGCTGCAGGTTCTGATGGGGTTCCCGAGGACACTTGTAATTAACGGGAGCGATAAGTGGTCAGTGCCCCTAAATTGCTAGAAAAGCACTCTCCACTGTCCAAAAGCCACGTGGCGCAGAGGAAAGAGCCGAAGCGTGCAGAGACTTCTAGATCGAGTTTGAATTCCAGATCCTCTACTTGGACACTGTGAAGTCTTGGAGTTATCTGAAGATCCTTCCAGCCATCATCTCAGTCTAGAAGGACTGCACTTTTCCTTGTTCTCTGAGTTATTTGACAGCTCCATGTACTGTATAAAGCAGTGAAACGGGGCTGGGGATTTAGCTCAGCGGCACAGCGCCTGCCTGGCAAGCACAAGGTCATGAGTTCGATTCCCGGTACCGGAAAAAAACCAAATAAATAAATAAATAAATAAAAATAAAACAGTAAAACAAGTGATTCCTGCCCGTGAAGACGCAAATAAATTTTATACAATGAAGATTTTATAACTCCAGGGATAGTCACCAGTCTAACATCAACTCGAGAATTCCTTCTCACAGTCCCGATTGTCAAAATGTGTGTCTGTGATTGGGATTCTCTGCCGAACCAGTTTTTACTTTTTACTGGTTCTTTCATTAATGAATAAATAAAATATTTGACACGTGTCCATTTTACATTTGTGTGACAGTTATGATCTTATCCTTTAAAAAGGTCACCCTTTGACATTTCCTTAGGCCAGTTTTCTGGCCTTAAGTGGCTTTTAAGTTACCCATTTCACAAGGATTTTTAAAAATGACGGTAGATAGCCCAACACAACAAAATTTCCCTTTCCTTTTATTCTATCCTCCCGTCCATGTGCTTTCTTGCTCAGACCCCACGCTGAGAGTTTTTTTGACCAGTCTGACCTCGACTACATGATCCTCCTGCTTCAGCCCCCCAAGTGCTGGGGTTATGGGTGTGCAGCACCACACATGGCTCTCCAAAGCCAGTTCAGCTTATCTATCTTTTTTTAAAAATAACTTTCTTTTTTTTTGGTACCGGGGATGGAACTCAGGACCTTGTGCTTGGCAGGCAAGCACTTGTGCTGCTGAGCTATATCCCCAGCCAGCTTATCTGTCTTTTGAGTTCTATCTCCAGGAGTTGGACACTGGAACCCAAAAGCACTCAAGAGTCCAAACAGAGTAAGAGCGCTCAGAGAAGGGGAACAAGGGAGGGGGGAAGGGGAAGGAAAGAAAGGACATGAAAAATGAAGACTAGAAGGAAAAAATGGAAACCAAACTTTTGTAAATAAGGAGGAAGAGGGGTTGGAGGGAGGGAAGAGGAATGGGAAAAAAGAAGCAAGATATATACAGGTACAAATTACCTATGATGAGTATTATCATTATGTATTTCTAAAATGTACCAGTAAAGGCCGGGCATGGTGGCGCACACCTATAATCCCAGCACTCGGGAAGCTGAGGCAGGAGGATCTCTGAGAGTTCGAGACCAGCCTGGGCTACAAAGTGAGCTCAAGTCCAGTTTGAACTGCATAGCGAGACCCTGTCTCAAAAAGACAAAAAAAGTAAATAAATAAATAAAATGTGCCAATAAAATGAAAAAATTTAAAAAGAATGAGGATGCTCGGTAAGGGGTGGAAGGCAAAAACAAAACAAAACAACAACAATAAACTATGACAGAGGACCTTCCCTTGAATTTAGGCTCAGGGTACACACGGGCCCGAGCTTTGCTTTGAGCTGACAGGGTGTAGCGGCAGCTCCGGCCGGCAGGCGGCGGCAGTAGCCGCCGGATGCTCGTGTTCCCCGCTGCACTGCTCTCGGCGTGGGTGGGAGGAGGTTCCACACAGCTCCTGCGCTAGGGTGGACAGAGCTGATGTGGTCAGGGCCCGCTTGGGGTGCGTTTAGGTAGAGGCCATCAGTCGCGCCGCTGCAGGTGACTGCCCCACAAGAGGGAGCGCTTGCTCAGAGCGGGACGTGCTGATGCGCAGGCGGCGAGGGCCCAGGAGCCGGGGCGCGGAACCCCTGCCCAGCAGGAGCAGCCCTGGGCAGGACTCCGGGGGTGCCGCGGCTCGGGTTCAGGGCTGGCCTAGGGGAGGCTCTGTTCTGAACCTACGATCCGCCTCCCGGGGAGACCAAGCAGAGGGCACCAGCAGCTGACCCATTCTATGGTGCTTTCCCCTACTCCTGTAAACACAAGGGGGCCAGTTAATCCTTATTCCCCACTGCGCTGTCAGAAGGGCAGAGAGCCAGGGTAAGGTGATCTGACCTCGGCAAAGTCCTCAGTCTTTGACCTCTGAGCGGGTCACTCCTTCCCAGTACGCCCAAGGCCACCCAGCGAGAGCCACGCATCTGTGTACACAGGCTGTGCTGGCCATGTGAAGCCACACGAACCGGGCTGGGAACCTGAGGGAGAGCAGAGCGGCGGCCTGGTCATTCCACAGGCCCCACGGTGGACAAAGCGGGTGGCAGTGTCTCCCCTGCAGAAGGGTGTGAGGGAGCGATGGTCCCTGGGGCTTCTTCAGGTTGTAGCACTTATGCGCTGCGTGACCTCACCCCACTACATCACCAGTCTCCTCAGTTCGGGTGTGGGCAGCACAGCTGGTCAAGGGCAGAAGAGGAAATGAGTAGCCCCAGGTGCAGGGGTCTTACCCACATCAGCCTCTTCAAGTCAGCTCACTTAGTGGTGTGACTCTGGGTCCACAGTGGAATATTCTACCAGGAAATGTTCGCAAAGACAGATTTGAACAGAATCTTTTGTTCTTGGAAAAGATGACTCAATATAATAAATTTGTCAGTTTCTCCAAGTTAATTTATATATTGAATGTAATTACAATAAAAATGTCAAAACATTGTTTCATAGACCATAAATTGACACTAAAAATTCCTACGGAAGAATAAACATGTAAGGATATCTAGGAATACCTGAAAAGCAAAAGCTACCAGGGGGGGTCTCACTCTACCAGATATTAAGATACATTAGAAAGTCTAATTAAAACAATGTGGTACTGGGTATGAATAGACAGACCAGTGGGATGGAATAGAAAGTCCAAATATAAGCTGAGTGTGGCAGCGCATACCTATAATTCTTGCCACCTGGGAGGCTGAGGCAGGAAGAGTACAAACCCCAGGACAGCCTGGTCACCTTAGTGACACCCTGTCTCAAAACTTAAAAGGGTGTGAGGGCTGGGGATGTAGCTCAGTAGGAGAGGATTTGCTTAGCATGGGTTCAATTCTAAGCACAAAAAAGAAAAAAGTCCAGATATAGACAAAGTACATATAGAAATCAGGGGTCAAAACCAACTTTGTGAATATTAGCGGCTCAGACAAATACATAGCCATTAGGAAAGGGATCAAACTGTATCTATAACTCCATCCAAACTAATACACCCTAGATGTTTCAGAGACCCAAACATAAAAAATAAAATAGTGAGAGAACTAACAGGTCATGAGTGAATACCTCTGTGACCAGAGTGAGTATAGGAAAAAGTTATCTATGACTAAAACTCCAGAAGCAAAACAAGATTGACAAATTTTACTACATAAAAACAACAAAAATTTGCATGGCAAAAAATTCACTGAAAAATCAAAGGACAAATTAAAAACCTGGAAGAAAATGTTTGCAACATATATCAGAGATGTTGTTACTCAGCTTTCTGTCGCTGGGGCAAAATACCAAACACTCACAACTGGAAGGAAAAAGGATGCAGGGTACAGTCCATGGTCAGCTGGCTCCAAGGCAGAAACATCATGGCAGAGGGGCAGGCGGAGGGAAGCTGCTCATCTCAAGGCAGCCAGAAGAAATGAGAGAGGGAAAGAGCCACAGAGAGAGATACTGCAGGCAAGATGTATCCTTCAAAGGTCCATTCTGAGTGACCTACACCCTCATCCAGGCCCTGCCTCCTTAACAGCACATTCATCTGTGAACTCATTGGTTAATTCATCCTGCATGTCCAACCTGTGGCCTGCCAACTGGATATACTTGTGTTATAATACAAGTTTGTTTTTTTTTTTTAAAAAAAAAAGGAAGTTTTGTAACATATCCTGGAAACTACCAAAATACTTGACCATAGAATAAACAAAGAATGGGTCTGTAGAATGGAGCGCTGGGCATCTAGGGGAACCAATGAGGAAGCTTTATATGAACTGAATCAGAGTGGTTTCTAAGGTATATTGTTCTGTTAAAAAAAGTAATGACAAGGAGCTGGGGATTTAGCTCAGCAGCACAGTGCCTGCCTGGCAAGCGCAAGGTCATGAGTTCAATTCCTGGTACCAGGAAAAAAAAAACCAAAAAAAAAAAAAAAAAGGAATGACAACAAACATTTAGACACCAGTGAATATCCCTTACCAAAATGAGACTCATGTCTAAATATGAAATTCCTTTATATTTCATATATACCTTACACCATAGCTGAAGGTAATTGTATAAAATGTTTATTGTACTTGTAGTGTTTCTTTTTGTAATTCAGACTTTATTGCTTATTAGTTATGTCATTCCACATAATCTTAGGTAAGGAGACTGAGAAAATATACTGGGACAATGGCAAAAGTGTTCAAGTATTTTACGTAAGGTCATAAGAGGCACCATGTGTCCACCATCAGCCCTAGAAATTTGCACATTTCCCATAAAAACAGTAAAAATAGTTCATTGGAGTTCAGCTAGCATTGCTCTTTGTAATCTAGCAAGCATGATAAGCCTGAACAGTTTCAGAATCTTCAGAGCAAAACAAAACAAAAAAGTCTTTTCTCACTACCAGATGTTTCTTTTAAAAAAGGAGCAAACAAATCAACATAACAAAAACTACACTGTTGGTATATCCTAGTTGGCATCTTAATACTAATACAAGAAACAAAATGTGACTCAGCTTTTTAAAATGAGATTAAACTTCGGGCAGACCCAGGAAGCCGCGTGGTGGGGCACACTGGCACATGCCGGCCCTCAGGCCAGCCACCACTGAGCAATTGAGAACTATCGTGGCACAGAGAAACAATGACACAATTGGCCCACCACGCACCGGCTGCGGAGGCCCGCCCATGGACGTGAGTGAATCATTCCAACATGGAGAAACTCCTGGGAATACATGCCACACAATGGATTGCTCTTGTCCCTGCCGTTGAGAACCAGAAAGGTCCAGAGTCAGCAGAGGAGCAGCTGCTGAACAAGGACTCAGAGAACATGAGAATACAGATTAAGCTCGAAGAGTCAGAGGTCTAGTAGACCGGCGTCAGGAGAGCCATTCAGAAGCTGTAAACCAGGAGGACCTTGTGCAATACTTGGGGAGACCCCCTGGAAGCCATTCTTCCCCTGACAGTACAGGCTGTTGTGGAGGAGCGCATGGAGCTCCAGAAAGGTCTGCACTGAGATTCCTGCTGCCTGTGCTGA